GGCAAGGTATGGCTTAAGTCATTGGTAAAAGCTTATCTAACAAAGGTTCTGCTGGTTGGGTTTTCTAAAAGCTGCTTGTTTAGTTTTGGTTTTCTTCAGTGGCAACCCCTGCAGATAGTCTCTGGAAACTATAGGTCACAGTATGCATCTCTAACCTTTGCAAGAATCTTAGTGAAACAGCATCCATGGGACCAGTAGCATGGCAGATCTCTCCTTCTTTCTGGGAGAGAGCCCAGCATATTAAGGCATGCTTCCTCAGGCTACTCATTAGCGTGTGAAATGGTGGCTGATTGGCTAAAGGTATTTTGATGCTCCTGAGACACTAAGAAGTGACTGTGCTGGTGAGATACACAGATAAGCTGAATTGCATGTTGGTACATACAGAATTTTTTATCTTTGAGTGACAGCTGAAAAATTCTTCCTTTGAAGGACCAAAATCCCAGTAGAAAAGCTGTCTGAGAGAAACGATGTCAAGTTTAAAGACTGATGTCTACTGTGTGCCCCTGAAAACAGTACATGATGCAGCCTGAGTGTCCTGCATCTCATACTATGGGTTTTTTTAGCTACTGGAAAATTAAATGGAGGAGAGCTCTTTGTTTGCATCTTCTGATGCAAAATTTATGTTCTCTTAGCTCCTACTTAGAGTAAAATAGTGCAAGTACTGGGACTGTTTCCTCCTCTTGAAAATGATTCACTGTTAGTCTAATACTACTATCCTATTGGAATTCTTTGTCCTTGTGTAGTAGTGAATTATTTTCCCTTTATTCCATTTACTTATTTTTCCACCTCTTGAGATCACTTTGTAAATTCTTCCACTTGTGATATCTACAGATTTAAAATTGCTGTCTTGTTCTTATCAGCAACTTTTCATCCTGGTGAATCTCTTCTTGACTAGCTGTAGTGCCTTACTCTATGGGCTGCTTTATTTATAACAGCAAAGCAGCAGTGTCTACATAATGCCTCTTTTCTTTTGGTCTGTTAAACTTTCCATGATGAAACATGTTTTTGAGTTTGATGCCAGAGAGAAATTCAGTGCTTCAAATCTAGTCTTTCTGGAGTCAAATACCTCTGCAGTGCTATGATTTTGAACAACATGTCCCCTTGACATACTTGGGCTTTTTCTGCTCTTTGTCTTCCCATATCTCCCAGATTTTCTCTTCAGCAGAAAAATGATGCATGATTTCTGTGAGATCTCTTGGATTCAGACCACACATGGTCAGATGCATTCGGTAGACTTCTGTCTGTTGAAAGTCAGTACAATCGCCCATTACTGCAAAGTTACTCAGTGTTTTTTCTGTGTATGTGGATCTCACTGTGTGTCTTTAAAACCTTATGAGAGTACCCTCCAGACACCTTACTCAGCTTCTTAGTTTTCACATTTGGACTTCAACGGGTTTTACAACGATTGAGAGGATCTGAACAGTAAATTCCAAGCCATGAGACATCTGTTTTCATGCTCTTAACTTGCACGTTTACTAAACCAACTTTTCACAAATGGATACAGCAGTCTGTACTGTTAGTAATGAGCATGCTTAGTTTTTGTGCTATTAAGTATTAAGGAGCTTCTGCCTCATAGCACTAGAAGTGGCCTTATACTCAGGTGAATACCCCAAACAGAAAATGCTCTCTTCTGAAGAAAAGAGCTCCTGTCAGATGAACCGTTTTGCAGTTCATAATGTTCACTAAAGGCCTTTTTTTTTGGCTGCCTGAAGTTGCTTCTCACTGCACTTTTGATTTTTTTCATTGTCTGCAAATAAGGACTCACATAAATCCTTAATTCTGGCACCTCCCAGTACACAATTGGCTGTGTGTGCATAGCCTGTTTGGCAATGCTTTGACAGAGTCCTCAGTAAAGCACAGAGACTCCCATGCTTGATTAAGCTCTTGGGCACTCTTTTTTTTTTTAACTATTGTTCATGTGTCTCTGCATGGTTTACTTATATTTTCAGGTGCAAAGCTTCTCGGAACACGGATTTTTGGAGGTATCGAAAATGTAATCAGTAATGGCATCTGCATTTGGCCAGAAGGAATTTCTTTGATAGTCACTGATATGATTTGAAGCTAATCATTATTTACATTGTATCTGGGTACCTCTATTGCAACTTAATTAGCTTAAACCACAAACTACTGCAGTGAAGTTACATATATGTGATACTAGACCACCTGTTCTGTTTTTGCTATGTGGAATCCTTAAGGATTTGGTTTATGTTGCTGCTGAATCCTCTTTTAATAGCAGCAAATGTGACTTGACTGTCCTAGGATTCAACTCTACCCCATAATCCGATCAGCAGTGGCCAGCAAAAGGAATTCAGAAGCTTATCCATGTTATACAGTTGATCTTTATTCACTGTGCCTTCTTAACCGCAGCTTCTAATAAGTAAATGCTGAGAAAAAGTATAGTTGGTGTACACTGAAAGTTGTATTTCAGCACTGTTCAAGCATCACCAAAACCAGGTCTTTCTGCACTTAGCAGTTTTCAGCAGTAGAGATCCACTGTTGACAGCCAAGTTGTCGGCTGCCTGGTACAGTCACTGCCAAGTACACAGTCTAGACCACAGATAATGTGAGATTTGAGGGTTACGTAGTCAGAAGTTGTTAGACCGTATGAGGCTAAGCTATACTCTGAAACTTGCCAGTTTTGTTGTGTTATTAACTAGCTAATAACAGCATACTGTGCTGCCGTCAGCACAGAGCTTTTCATTGTAGCTCTGGACTGACAGAGGCTAGATAATGGAGTTAGAGTAATGGTGCTTGAAGGATTTGGTTTTGGTTGTAAGAAAAGAAATTCCTTTCCATGTGTAGCTAGTTTGTGACATTAAGTGCTCAGGACTGAATTACACAATTCATAAGTGCAGCATTTTGGATAAAATGTGGCATTCGCTTCAGATTCCATGTGTGCCTTGGTAGGTGCATTGGTAAGTCTGATCTTCACTGGCATATGTTTTTCTTGGTACCAGTGGTGTGATCTCCAATTAGTGTTAGTCTTCTCCTGGATACTCTCTCAAATGTAAGTTTGCTGATAAATGCAACTGAACTCTCATCGTTGTAGTAGCAGCACTCAGGTTTACATGTGACCATTGGTGACTGCTGTACTGTACCAGTGTTGCCTCCGATCCTTTGCCCTTTCTCTAACGACAGACAATACTAGACTTTTTACTTCCTCCTCACTTTGAAATTATTTTATCTAATTGAATGTCCCCTTCTGTTACAGGAGGGTGGAAAGAGGCCACTCATCCATTTGTTAAATATTGTTTCTCTACTAAAAGCTCATACTTGTTTTTATGGGAAGCTCTTTCTAGACTATTAATCTAGTCTTCCTCTTTTTTAATGTCTCACTTTTCCTACTTCCTACCATTTAAGAAGGATACTAGTACTGGATTATTATGTTCAGTTTTTGATAACTGTAGTGTTTAACAGCAGTGCCCTCTGATGTAGCGTATGTACTCCTTGTCTGGTGCAGTAGTTCCGAAGAGCAAACGCGAATTGGACATTTCCATGCTGATTATGGCAAAGTCTCTGAAATACGCAGTGTAAATCCTTGTAACAGCAGTTTGAACACTTGAGATTTAGTGCAGTTTCTGGGGAAAACCAGTCTCGAGCTTTCCCAGGATGCAGGCTATTTCTAGGTTGCAATTCCGGTGCAAAATTTCCTTTATTGTGGGGAAAACACTCCTATTGTCTGTGGCACCTCCTTGTGTACTTGTAGGCAATGCTTTTCACAGTCCCTTCTAGTAACTGTCATTGCAGAGAAGAAATATTCTTGACTCTTCCCTGTACCAGTTATTAAAAGAGAGGCATCGAATGAGCATGTGTTTCTGGACAAATCTTCAGCATCTTGACATGTTTTTTGGATTTTTAACTTAACAAAGTCACTTCTAGAGTTGCAGCAGATTTGCACAGTAAATAGAGGGGCCAAGTTTATTTAGAAATATTATTGCTGTCTTACAAACTATTCCTCTAATATTCATTCCTGCAGTCCACAGCAATAACACTGTGACTGATTGTTCAGCATATCAGCTGTGGACCTGCAATCATTGCTGTTCTCAGAACAGGTGTATCCTGGTTTTATATTTGTACAGGATATATCTTCCCTTCTTTGAAAAAGCAAACAAGTTCAATGTAATGCTTAATGGCTTTAGAAAACTTCTCAATTTCACTCTGCAATTATGTTTTCCACTTCCTGTTGCTTGTATGTTGCCTCCATCTACCAAGTACTTAATAGTTGTGTTCATTAAAGAAAACTAGTACCACTGAGCACACATGGGCTTAGTCAGGGGTTACCTCCTAATGTAAGAAATGGGGCAACTTCGGTAAGATTTTTAATCTAGGACGTTGGTGACCTGCTTCCTAGCACCACCGACCTGCTGAGTGAACTGCTGCAAGCTGTGAAAACAAAAAAAAAAGTGAAACTCAAGTGGTTCTTTCAGTTGACAGCAGTTGTGTATTTTTGTCATACTAAGGCTGCAAATTGTTTCTTAGCAGTCTTACCTGGACTAGCTGCATTTATGTTGGAAATACATTTTTACATTTTTCTTAAATGATCTCTAAGCAGGTCAGAGCTGAAAGGTGTTATATTTTTGGCTGTGAAACATAACCTTTCCAATATCTTCCTCCTTCCCCTTCTAATTCAGGGCTGTCTGATTTTGAGTGATGAACTGAATCATGCATCACTAGTGCTCGGAGCAAGACTGTCAGGAGCAACTATTCGAATCTTTAAGCACAACAGTAAGTATCAGATGGTGGACACTGCCTTTCTGCAGATGCTATATATCAGATGCAATCTCTTCTGTCTTCTAGTAGTTGGAAATCCAATTTCATGCAAGGAAATCAATTGCTGGTTACCTGAAAGGTCAGAAGACTGCTGCTACTGAGAATTTAATCATCCAGAATTGGATATTTTTTGATATGTTCAGTCTCAACTAATAACATTTCTATCCTGAAGCTGTTCTGGCTTACATCTTCTGCATATGAAGAGGAACATGCTGCCCTTTGGCAAGTCTAGGGGCACTAGTGTTTCAACATGGCATCTTGTTACTTGAGTAGCTCACTGTGGTTAGACTACTCTATCGGTCCATGTCACATAGTAATGCAGTCTTGTAGTCATCTAGGTTACAGTTTGGGGGAGAAGAAAGTTTAATTTCAGGACCAAACGCCAACATGATCATACAGTAACAAAAGTTTATGAATGCAGATGTCCTAGCTAAATTAGGTAGCCAGTCATTGGTACAGTGTAGTACAAAAGGAATTTTTGGGATGTGAAGCATAGATTAATTTCACTGAGTACTTGCTTTAAGTACTTGTTTCCAAAAAACACTGAGTTTTCACGTTGCTAGTTTCAGCTTCCTCCAAAGGAGATATTTAGAGTAACATTCAGGTTAAAAATACTTGGGATTTCCTTCTCTTGGTGAAAGAGATACCTGGTGGTTCTTGATTAGCAAGGCCACTACCTTCATTCTTCAGCTGCTCCTAATACTCTTTATAGTGTTGATCTCTGAGATCCTGACAACTCTTGCTCCCTTTGAAGTGTGTGGTGGCAGAAAAGCTTGGGTGGCTGCAATTATTTTCCTTGCTTTGTCCTACTTGATAGTGGATCCCCTGCTGTGCTTATTATTTCTTTTGTGTTCTCTCTTGTTCTCTATCATTTGAATAATTTTCTTTACAGAAGTGTAGAACTTACTGTAACATTCAGTGATTATTTCCCCCCCCGCCTAATTCTTCATAACTCTTGATTGCTGCGCAAGATCACAAAAGCTTTGCATTCAACTTCTGCATTTGTATAGACATACTTCTGAACATTGCATCCAGTTCCAAAATTTCAAAGAACACTGGTGAGACACAGTTCTGGGTGTGAAGAGAAAGACTTAAAAGCTCTGGTGTGATGAGGAAGAACAGACGATCTGTGGGAATGGAGTACGAGCTAGCAGTGGTGAGATTGGGGGGCTGCTCTAGAAATGCTACAGATGGCTGGAATCTGTGAAAGAGAATGGAGTGTAGAATCGAAAGGCACAATGCAAGCAATGATCTTGGCCTGTCAAGATGATGCTCAATTCGTAGTTTTGTATGTGTTCTCAGCCCTACTTTTGCTATACTTTATGCTGCCTTAGTTACCTTCATTCTCCTGAGATGCTAATGGCTTCATTCGTATTTTGCTTTTTAGAATTGTAAGAAAAAAAGAAAAATCCTCGCAAAGTCCCTATTCAATGTTTTCATTTTTTCCCTACCTTATTCTGCATTTTGCCCTTTTTATTAAGTTCAGGCCTAGTTCCCAGTCTATCCCTCTTTCTTGAAGGATGAGAGCAGAAGTTTATATTCCATTGTTCTCCCTAACTGCACTAAACTTGTCCTTGATTTGTTGAAGGCAAGGGCTCCACTGCTGACCTCTTCATCTTTGTCTTTTTCTGGACATCAGCTTGCTTTTACAGTCGTAATTGACGTATTTTCCTGTAGAATTTCTAGTCTCGTTGTAGTTCACAACCTCCTCACTGCTACAACTGCCCTAGACTATCAGTCCTCTTGTCATGATTGTTGGTGCTCTTTTTCATGCCCTAGTGCTTATATCTGTCTCCTGCTCAGCACTTTAGCTTTTGTGGTTTGAGTACCCTCATCTCCGTTCCTTTCCTCCATGGTTGGTTTGTTGGGTGTGAGTTGTTTGTATTTTTGGGGTTTTTTTTAGGGCTGTTTTAATGTGTGTTTATTTGCTCACATTAGTCAGGTCTGCGAGGATCATGTCAAGTGTTCATAGCTAGTAAGGTTTCAGAATGCACTGCTACTAACAACTTCACCTGTCTAGTTTCTGATACCCTGCACGCTCTGCTCTTTGCAACACTGGTGGTTCTTTGTTCTTCCTTTTCTGTTTTTGCTTTAGTGACCTCCTGTTCAACACCACCAGTCCCTTCAACTTTAAACAAAGTAATAAAAAAGTACTCTTGCTCCCCTTCTTCTGCACTTTGGTCTCTCTTCTGCTTATCTTTAGTTGATTATCCTTGAGCTTGCTTGTTCTTTTTTGAGTTATTTCTATCACAAGGACATGCTTACTACCAAAACTGCTTTCTCTCTTCTTGGAGTGAGGTACCTTCCTTTTTTCCTTTTATTTTTTCTTTCCTTCCTTGTTTACTGTTTATGCCTGATGCTTTAACTTGTGCTTTTATGTTAGGATGATGAAATTCTTTCTCAGAGTTCATACAGTCACCCGTTCCCTTTAATCTCATCTCTGGGCCTGCAGCTAGATGAAGGCCCATGCTTATTGACTTACATATGGTCTGTCCTTCACACTGGAGCACTTTGTGCATTTTTGGAGTACTGCTGTCTTTAGTCATGTCGAAGTTCAAGCTAGTAGCTGTTTTGGTACCATTTAACAGTAATTTCTGGTGCAGATATGCAAAACCTGGAGAAGCTGCTCAAAGATGCAATTGTGCATGGGCAACCTCGTACACGGAGGCCCTGGAAAAAAATTCTTATCTTGGTGGAAGGAGTATTCAGGTACAAACTATTCTTTATATTCCTAAGACCCTCCACATGAGATCTAGCTGCTTAGTATTTGGCTTCCTTTGCCAAATCAAACTATGAATATTGTCACTTCATAGTTATTTCATTAATCTCATCTGCAAATTAAATTGCGCTGTGTATGTCTCATCCTCGACTTTCTGTTGCTAGTACCGTAGCTGCACCTGGTGTTATCATAAAGCTTCCACATCCTAATTAAATTGTAGGCATTAGTCTAAACTGATTATTTATAACAGAGCTGCAGTCTTAAATTGCTTATCCATTCCATTCTTTCTGTGCTCACTAGATGATGCTGGTGTGAATGGAATTGGGCAAATGGAATGTTTTTGCTGAGGGCGCGTAGGAGCATGTAGTAGGCTTAGCTGGTAGGCATTTATTCAGCACAAAATGGGGCATTTTGGAGTGCTACCAATGAGAGCCTAGTCACTTCTTAAAATTAAAAACAAGAGGTAAGTGGATGTCAGGTCAGAATGCTGACATTAGGGTGCAAGTGAAAATGAGAGAATACATTCATAAAATTGTTCAGTGACAAATTCCTTTGCTTTAACTTACTGTTGTCGCTACTATTTAGTCCGTGTGTCGGCATCCCAGAGATGTTAAACGGGCAGAAAGTAGAGATCTGACCCCAGGTGCAGGGGGAGCTGTCTTTCACCTCTGAAGGACACAATGTGTCTAGCAAATTGTGTGTTCATAATTACTGAAAAAGTGAAGAAAAAGTTTAGTGGCTTTAGAGTCTATAAGGAGGCCCCAACCATTAAATCAACTTACGCTGCATTTCTGTTTCTCAACAGTATGGAGGGATCCATAGTCCGTTTGCCTGAAGTGATTGCCCTTAAGAAGAAATACAAATCCTATCTGTACCTTGATGAGGCTCATAGTATCGGTGCCCTGGGTCCTGGTGGCCGGGGTGTAGTGGAGTATTTTGGACTCAGCCCTGAAGATGTGGATGTTATGATGGGAACATTTACCAAAAGCTTTGGAGCTTCTGGAGGATACATTGCGGGCAAGAAGGTAAAAAGCTGAGAGTCTCATGGGTGTTTCAGGCTGGTGGTGGAGTCCTTCACTTAAACATTTCAAAGTTGATCTATTTCTCAAGTACCCTGATTGTCCGTTTGTTTCATAGCCTTAGATACTGTCTAGTACAGTGAAAGTCTGTGCAACGCAGAAGAGTCTACTTCAGTAAACTATCTTAAAATTGTATAGTTATCACATGGTCACCGGTGATCACAGTTTGCAGAATACAGTAGGGGTGTATTGTCTTTCTAGGAACTGCTAGAAGCCAGGAAGCAGGGATTTCTTAATGTTACTTTTAATGAGATGTGCAGAAAAAATGCCAAAAGCTGAAGTTTTTCAGCCTATTTGGAGGAAAATCCCCTTCTTTAGGTTAGTGTGGTAGAATTAATTCCATCTGGACTTGAACAGCTGGCTTTCTAAAAAGATACTTCCTTTTTTTTTTTTTGGCTACTGGGTCTCTTATTGAAAATTACTGCTAGAACATACTGCCCTTGCCAAGCCTCTCCTTTGAGAAGGGATCGTGTAGACAATTGCATGTATCCCCTTTCTCATATCCTGAAGTGTGTATCTCACATCAGGCTTCTAAGCTTTGAGGGCAGAATTCTACCATTTTCCTACCAGAACAATGATTTCTTTTAGTTACTAATAGTCACGATTAGTTCAGCCCACCCAAATGGAGATGGGACTTGCAGATTGGAGTTTACTACAGTTGGATTAGTATTACTCTGACATCTTCCCCAGAAGAAAGCACTGCATTAATCTTTCTCCAGAGGTAGTGAGCTACTGGGATTAACTCCTGTGACATAAGGTGAAGCAGCTAAGAGTCCTTTGCAACTGGGTTTTAGCTACTGTTTGAGGGATTGGTTCATGGGTAAGAGGCCTTAAATCTTCTTACCTAGTTTATTTTGAAGTCCCTTTAAAACTTCCTTTTCTTTTAACTCTGACTCCAGGCAAACAGCAGCATAAAATTGAATGCTTCTGTGTATTTCTGTAACATGTTTCCAGCTTGTGCTATCTACAGGGCCATTAATATTAGTTCTATGGTGGCAGAAGGCACAATCTGTCCTGGCTGTCATACTGGTCTTTATAATATTTTGCTGGAGTGGTTTTGTTACAGTTAACAACAAGCAGCCTAAATCTACAGTGTGTTGGTCCTTTGTTCCTGTATGACCTGCTTTTGCCTTCTAACCAATGCAGCAGGCATGTTTAACTGGGAAGTGCAGGGGGGCTAGGCTGAGGTTTTTGCACTCTTGAATTACACCTGCTGCTTTATTTATATTGTGCTGATCTATGCGAGAAAATATTTTGTAACTTATTTCCCCTGTTTGGTGACT